CGGTGCCCCGCACTCCCGACCCACAAGCCCCCGCCAGCGCCCCGCACTCCCGACCCGCAGCCCCCCGCCAGCCCAGCCGGCGCCCCGCACCCCCAACCCCCCAGCGCCCCCCACTCCCGACCCGCAGCCCCCCGCCAGCCCAGCCGGCGCCCCGCACCCCCAACCCCCCAGCGCCCCCCACTCCCGACCCGCAGCCCCCCGCTCCCGACTCACAGCCCCCCCGCTCCCGACTCACAGCCCCCCGCCAGCCCAGCCGGCGCCCCGCACTCCCGACCCCCAACCCCTCGCCGGCCCCCCCCCCACTCCCGACCCGCAGCCCGGCACCGGGCAGGCTGAGAACCAGGCGGGACCCATCTGCGCGAGGCGGGGGGGCTGTAGCGCCGGGCGGGAACCCAGGAGTCCGGCTGCGAACCCCGGTACCTGCCGCGCGGCCCCGCTGCGGCTCCATCTCACGCGCGGTCCCCGCGCCCCGCCCCGGTTGCTAGGAGACGCTCCAGCGCGAGCCCCTCGGCCGCCGACACGTCACCCGCGAGGCGGCCGCAAAGCGCGGGGCGGGCGAGTGTCGCAAGCGCGGGGCGGGCCCTGGCGGCGCTTTCCGGCAGCCCCGGGGGCCGCCCCGAGGGGTCTCCTCCCCACGGCACGGCTGGGGCGGAACCCAGGCGTCCGGGGCCCCATCCAGCCCCGCCTCCTCCCGCTGCGGGGCCCCTCCCCCCGCGGGCCCTATCCCGGACGCCTGGGTCCTCCCGCTCCCAGACAGCCCCGCGCTCGGGGTCCTGGCGCCCCCGGGCCCCCCCCCCGGGGACCCGCAGCGCAGCGCCCCCCAAGTGCTGGCCTGGGGCTCGTGCTACAGCCAGCAAAGAGGCTCCCCGCCTGCTGCAGCCCGTGGGCCCCCCCATGTATTGACCAGGCCCGGCCCCACCCTGCGGCCGGGGGCTGCGCCACGTGCCTCTCCGGGCTGGCTCGGGCCCTGCTGGCCGCGCTTGGCGGGGTGAGCAGCCTGCGGAGAGGGGCAGGCTCGGTCCCGGCCTCGTGCTGAGCCCTCCCGGCGGGGGCAGCCAGAGCGGGTTCAGAGCAGCCGCCCTGTTCGTCTGCATCCGCCAAAGGGAAAGGAGGACGTGTGGCACCTTGGGGACTAACACGTAGCTTTCGTGATGCATCCGATGAAGGGAGCTGTAGGCCAGGAAAGCTCACGCTCCAATAAATCTGTTAGTCTCTAAGGTGCCACGAGGCCTCTTCTTTCTCCTGAGATAAGGAGACATTCGTTAGGAGTGGGGCGCTAATCAGATTGCCCCCCTCTTCCGTGAAATTAATGTGGCAACTTGGTTTGCTACAGGCACCGGGCAGAACTAGTGTGTGGGCTGGGGGAAGAACGGTCCTCCTTGGGGTCAGGAGGGCTGGGTTCCGGTGGGGTATAGTGGTTAGGGCTGGGGGTGGCAGGAGTCAGGACTCCTGGGTTTTCCCAGCTCTGGGAGTGGGGTTCCATGCCTGGCTCTGGGAAGGGAGTGTGATCTATGGGTTTGAGCAGGGGATTGGGGGGTCAAACCTAATACAATGCCTCCTGGGTTCTGTTCTTGACTCACTGTGTGACTCTGGCCTTTTCCCTCTCTGTGCCTCAGTTTCTCCTGCTATGGGCTGGAGTCGATGAGACTGACCCCTCCTCTCAGAGGGGCAGGCAGGATGCCTTCATGTTGATAAATCTCATTGGGATCCCCTAGGAAAGGGCCGGGTACCAGCGCTGCTGCTTTGGGTCACGGATCACAGACTGTCAGGCTTGGAAGGGACCTTGGGAGGTCATTGAGTCCAACCCCCTGGTCAAAGCAGGGCCAGTCTCCAGTTTTTGTCCCAGATCCCTAAATGGCCCCCTCAAGGGTTGAACTCACAACCCTGGGTTTAGCAGGCCAATGCTCAAACCACTGAGCTATGCCTCTCCCCCCACTGAGCTATCCCTCCCCCTCACAGAGTCATAAACCAACACACTTTAATAGTGACAATTACCCAGGGCTGGGAAGCTGTAAACAGAGACTGCTGGGGCTGCGGCCGGCAGAACCACCAACCACGTCTCCCTCCCACCCAACTGCATTTCTCATCTGCCACGGAAGCTGCATTTCCATCCTGCCAGCGACATGGCCTGGTCTTCGCTTCGCTCCCCAGCCCTGTACAAACCCCAACACCTTTTGCTCCCACTGCAGAGCCCGGCTGGTTCTTCCTGCTCTTCCACTCTGAAGGGAAGAGGCAAATATTTATACAGAGCCCAAAATGTTACATTACATGTGGCTCTGGCCTGAGGGGGAGGAGGCAGAAAGGACCAGCTTGGTGCGGGGACAGGGACAGAGAGATCTCCCCAACACTTCCCACAGCTGTGGCTTTTGCTACAAAACAAAATCCAGCCTCCATCTGTTCTTGGTATGAAGAAAACTTTTTCCTGGTGACCCTGAGGAAAACTGTCATGGATGCATCTGCCTGAATTTGCAGAGAGCCTGAGCCGATCGCCCGGAGATGAGGGATTTGCCCTCAGGGTAACCAGTGCAATGATGCCTGCCTGGGTTTGTTCAGTCCAAAGCAATAGGAGCAAGCATGCGGGATGAACGCCCCGTTCATTCCAGTGAGGGCTAACTCCAATGCCCATTGCTCTCACTTTAAATGGCAACACTTAACTATTCCAGAGGGAAGAGGAAGGATCAGAGTACAAAGGGCTAGGTGGGGGGAGACAGCATGGGATAGATACGTCGGAGGGGGGGAGGTGGCATGGCTGGATTAATTTACCACAGAGCGGGGCTCAGATTCAGCCATCTGGAAACACTGCACTGAAATAGCCTCGTCCTGGGCTTGAGTCTGTCCCTTTTCTCCCTCGGTTACGTCTGGCCAGTTTCCATCAGGTTTAAACGAAGTGTTGCAAGCAGGCAAGACTAAAGCAGATCAACAGTGAACAGAAAACCCAATCCCCATGCTGCCTGTAGTTGTTGCATGATACTGTATGGAAAGATAGGGATTCCTGCCTGACCCTTGGGGCCATCAGCTCTGGAGCATGAGAGTTGATTACAACTGTAACAGAAAGGAAAGGGTGTGGAGGGTGATTGGGGGATGGAGGCTGGAGGGGAGCAGCCTCCTTAACCCAGAGAGAGGGCAGCATGGCACCAGAGGCCTTCTTGTGAGAGGAGCTGCGCCCCTGTGAGCCCTGCTGGCTCTTCTGTTTGCAGGAGGGTGGGAAGGCTGCAGGGTATGGCAGGATTGCACCCGTCAGGCGCCCCTGTGGAAATGAAGATGCGTGAGCAGGGGGTAAGGTGGTAACACAGCCGTGTGGAGTCCCCATGCTGCCTCAGTGCCTGAGGCAGGGTGGGTGACACAGGGCTTTGCGCTGCTGGGAGACCAGGCCTTCAAGAAGAGCCAACAGCTCCATGGGGGGCCCGGATCAGGTAGTCACTAGGCCGTGCAAAGCCATCCATGCACCAGCATCCTCCACAGCCCCGCCACACAGCAGGCCCCGGCCCCTTTCCACTGTCCTCCCCACCGTCAAAATCTCCAAAACCTTTTCACGCAGCTTCCTGACCCAGGGGGGACAGTAGCTGCTGGGCCCCATCCCCCACCTCAGCTGGCTTCCTCTGCAGCCCAGTACCCCCTGATCTGGGCGGAGTTTAACCCTCTCCCTGCCAAACACAGGGCAGGGGCCTTGTGGGTGTGTACAAGCAGGAGATGGGTGCTGGAGATAGAATCATAGAATATCAGGGTTGGAAGGGACCCCTGAAGGTCATCTAGTCCAACCCCCTGCTCGAAGCAGGACCAATTCCCAGTTAAATCATCCCAGCCAGGGCTTTGTCAAGCCTGACCTTAAAAACCTCTAAGGAAGGAGATTCTACCACCTCCCTAGGTAACGCATTCCAGTGTTTCACCACCCTCTTAGTGAAAAAGTTTTTCCTAATATCCAATCTAAACCTCCCCCACTGCAACTTGAGACCAGTACTCCTCGTTCTGTCATCTGCTACCATTGAGAACAGTCTAGAGCCATCCTCTTTGGAACCCCCTTTCAGGTAGTTGAAAGCAGCTATCAAATCCCCCCTCATTCTTCTCTTCTGCAGGCTAAACAATCCCAGCTCCCTCAGCCTCTCCTCATAACTCATGTGTTCCAGACCCCTAATCATTTTTGTTGCCCTTCGCTGGACTCTCTCCAATTTATCCACATCCTTCTTGTAGTGTGGGGCCCAAAACTGGACACAGTACTCCAGATGAGGCCTCACCAATGTCGAATAGAGGGGGACGATCACGTCCCTCGATCTGCTCGCTATGCCCCTACTTATACATCCCAAAATGCCATTGGCCTTCTTGGTAGATAGATGGGCTCCTCCCCAGAGCGGGTCAGCGGCCCAGCAGTCCCCGCCCCTGCCAATGTGTCTGGGCCTACGGTCTGCCAGCAAGGCACCACCATTGTCCCACTCAGTGACTGGGCTGGATCTGGGTCCACACCAGCTCCACTCAGCAGCCTCAGCCCCGGGACATCTGCTCCCTGCAGTGCTGGCCTCTGGTCAGCTCCACCTGCCAGGGCAGGGCATACCCTGCCCTGAGCCCTAGGAGCATTTTGTACCAGCTGGTGTCAGCCAGGCTGGGATGGGACACGGAGTGGGCAGAGCTCCCCCCACCCCGGAGAGTTTCCTGTCCAAGCTCAGCCGATGCCCCTCACCCCTGACTCACAGCCCCTGCTACTCCTGGGCCCCCCAGCTCTGCCGATGCCCTCTGGGGGGGAGGCCCCAGCCTTAACCCTAAAGCTCTAGCCCCGTGCACAGAACGAGCCTGCTGGGATGGGGGCTGCCCCCCAGGGGGGCTGGGTCTCCTGGACAGGTCTCTGGGTGGCCTGGGGCTGCCAGGGGGCACGGGGGGCAGGCAAAGCTTGAAGCCCATCGCTGGGGACCCAGTGCCTCGGTTCTGTGCGGGGCCGAGGGACCCGAACCCCGCTGGGTCCGCCCCGTCCCGGGGAGCTGGGCCCGGCCCGTGCCTCTTTAAAGGCCGCGGCGGGAGCTGGGCCCGCCCCTCGCACCTGCGGACCGGCCGGCTGCAGGAAGCAGGAAGTTCGGGCTGAAACTTAGCGCACCAGGAAGCGGCCGGAGCGGAGCATGGTGAGTGCCCGGGATCGGGGGCCCGCCCCGACCTGCCCCGGCCCCCCGATTCACACGGGGCTCCGGCGCCCGGAGGGGATGCGGAGTGACTCCGCGCGGGGAGGGGCCCGGGCCCGGGCCCGGGACCGGCTCAGGAGCTGGCTGGAGAGCGGCGGCCGCGGGGGAGCGGACTGGAAACAGTGGCTGGCGGGGATCCCGCCTGGCTAACAACCCTCCAGGGCAGGGCAGCGACTTAACACCCCCCTCCCCCAATGCTGCGGAGAGAACCCAGGCGTCCTGGCTCCCAGCTGTGGCTCTGGTGGCTGCTGGAGGGAGGGGGGCACAGGCTAGGGTCCGGGTGACAGAGGGAGGAAGCGGGTGCTGCTGAGACAAGGGACCCGAACGGCGCGCTCGGCGCTGCAGGCTGCTCCCTGGGCCGTCTCCAAGGTGGCGGCTGGACGGCCGGGCGGAGGCTGGGCGCAGGTAGCGATTGCTGTGGGGAGGGGACTGGGTGCAGCCAGCTTAGAGAGGGGAAGCGGGCAGCCGGAATATTTTCCAGGAAGGGAATAGGGGCGGGGAGAGTCTGCAGCTTCTCAAAGGGGGCGCAGGAGCAGGGTCATTCCTGAGACCAGAGAGAACCCCCACCCCGACTTCCAAAGTAACAGGCTCCTGGCTGCGTCCCGTGCCAAGGCCCCCCATGGATCCACAGACTATGAGCTGCATGCCCCCCTCTCTCTTCTCCCCGCCCCCTCCCCCTGGTGCTGGGTCTCATTATCAGCCCCTCCCCCTCCGCCCCCCCATCCCATCCCTGCAGAGCTGCCTAGAAAGAGGAAGCGGGCGGCCTAACGGTTCCTGCCGCACTCGGGGGACTCCAGACCCCCAGCCCTGTTCTGCACGCTGAGCCGGCCACGGTGGGGGACAGGGCCCCCTGAATTGCAGGGCTATTTTGGGGCCAGGGTGGGATGGGGGAAAGGGGGATGACTCAGTGGGCATTTGGGGGCAGCGCTGGCGGGTGGGGTGGATGGAGGCCAGGCTGGGTCTAAAAGGGTCCACAGACCCTGGGGGCTCCTGGCCTGAGCTGCCTGCTGTGTGGGGCTGCCGGGGGCTGGGAAGATGCGGGGGTCTGGGAAAGGGTCTGGGGGTTGGAGGGTCTTCAGGGGGTGCTTACCAAAGGACTGGTGCCTCTGAGGCCCCACTAGCCGTGATCGCCCACTGAGGGGGCAGAGGGCTCTGAGCCGTGGTCTGTCCATCTGAGCAGTCTCTGAGCAGAAGGCAAAAGATTAATGTGCCCAGGCTCGCTGGCACGTCCAGCCCCCTGCATCTGGGGTCACTAATTCACCTGAGTCGGGGGAGATGGGGTTAATTCCTGGCCCTGGCTGCGCAGAACACCCCAGTCCAGAGCACCTGGGGGAAGGGGGGAGCGGGCTGGGACCTGAAGGGTTAAGGGAAGGAGCTCGGGTGCCCCAAGTGTTGCCAAGGTGCCCTGGCAGTGGAGAGGTTTCCCTTAAAGGAGCCACATGGCGGGAATGGAGGGGGGCTCTGGCCCCTACCCTGTCTGCTTCCTCCTGGGGGGCCTGGGGTTCCACTCTCCAGGGGCTGGGGTGTCCCTCCTCCTCCCCCGTGTTGGAGCCATGTTGGCCACCTCTGGCCAGTCCTGGGTTAAAAACTGGGTCAGATTTGGGGGATCAGTGTCGGGCTAAGTGCGGCAGGTGCTGGGGGTTGAGTGGGGGCCTGGAAAGGGGAGGTGGCGGTCGTGCTGCCAGCCAGGGCCAGTGTAACGGGGATTCTCTCTGCAGGCTGCTGGACTCAGACCCTGGGGCTCCCATGGGGCTCCCTCCAGCCCACGCTGGGCAGCACTGCCCTGGGCACTGGGCGGGCTCTTCTCCCCTGTGCCTGACGTACTTTGGGCGCTGGCCGCGGGCAGCGTTTCTGAGATTCCAGCCTGGGACCCACCCAGCCTGACACGCCTGGGTCTGACCAGCCCAGCCGCTTGGATCAGGCTCAGCAGGAGGGGGAGGAGACAAGGGGGGTGGCTCTGACCCTGTCCCCCCTGCGGGTCTCACAGGCTCAGGGGGTGCTCCCATCCTGGGACTGTCCCAAGCCCCTGGGTGCGCTGTGTTTGCTGGGTCTCTGCTCTGCGGGGGGCAAAGGACCCAGCAGGGCTTTGGAGACAGACCCCCCGCTCCACCCCTGCAGAGGGGTTTGCCCGGGGCCACACTGGGCTGGCCGTGTCACACCTGCTGCCCCCTGCAGGCAGAGGGCATAACTGCTGGGGGGGAGATTGCTCGGACCGACCCGACCGGCTGGGTGAGTCCTGGAGACGTGACGCGCGCTGGAAGTTCCCTGTTGACATTCCGCAGTGATAAGTGTGGGGGGTGGGGCAGCGCAATCACCCCGGGGGCTGCTCTGCCCCATCGCCCAGAGAGCCCCCCCAGTGCCCAGTCCTGCCCTGTGGGACCTCCCTCAGCCTCTGTGCCTGCAACGCTGCCTCTGTGTCCCTCCTGGCCTTGGGCCAGGCACCCTCCTTCCCCAGCTCTCTCCTCTCCCTTCCTCATGCTGGCTGAGGTGTTGTGGGTCCAGTGGTTAGAGCAGGGGTCTAGTAGCCAGGACACCTGCTTCTATTCCTGACGCTGAGAGGGGATGCTGGGAGACAGGACTCCTGGGTTCTCTTCCTGGTTCTGCCCCTGCCTTTGTTACATCAGCTGCCTCAGTTTCCCCACATGATTGTTCTCCTGTAGTAGGCTTTGGGGCTCAAACGGAGTCTGTGAAGCATTCTGAGCTCCTCAGAGGTACAGGGCTGCAGCTGGACCCCAGAACCGGGGCGTTGCCCTGTGATCAGCAGCCCTTTAGCTTCTCGAGGGCCCTTCCCCCATTCGCCTTGGGGCCTCCCTTCTCTGGGCCCCCAGGTTTTGCCCGGGCCGCGTGTGCTGCTCCCGCAGCCGCTCTCCTGTTGACCCCTGCAGGAGGGCACCGGTGGCAGCGGGATGGCAACGGACCGGGTGAAGAACCTGCAGAGCGAGGTGGAGGGGGTGAAAAACATCATGTCTCAAAATGTGGAGCGGATCCTGGCGCGGGGCGAGAACCTGGACCACCTGCGGAACAAGACCGAGGACCTGGAGGCGACGGTGAGCCCTGGTTCGGGGAGGGGACCGGGGAGCAGCAGGCTGGGGGAGACCCCCATCCTGTGCTCGTGAGGTTCCTGGTTAGGTCATGGGGAGCAGGAGGGGGAACCTCAAGACTGGAGTTGATCTGCAGAGGGTGGCGACTGGAGCCTGATGGGGGTTTGGGCAAAGGCCTGGCTGCTGTTCTGGCCTGGCACCGGGTACCCCTGGCTCTGGGGCCACCCAGACTAAGACAGGTCTGGGCACCGCCATGAGCCCTGACCTTGCTCTGGGGGCTCCGGCTGCTGCCCCCACAGGCTCAGCTGGGCGTGGAAACGGCGCCAAGCAGGAGGCGGGGGGGGGGGTGGTTCGGATCCTGCTGGTCCCTGCCCACGTGCATTGCACGACGCGCACTCTGGGGGGAGGGGCTGTTTGCTCAGCCGCTGATAAACCCTGGCAGCCGGCGAGACGCTGTCTCTGCGCTGCCCTTTGTCCCACGCTGGCATGGCTTGTCGGAGGCTCTCAACCTGGTGCCCAGCATGGGCCGGTGCCAGCAGCTGCAAGCACCCTCTAGTGGTCAGCTCTGGAATAACGTGCCCATAGTTCCCAGCACCGGCTTGGCTTGGCAGAGCGGAGCTGGGGCGGTGCCCGCATGTGGACCCGCCTGCTGGCATTGCTCATGCCTGCAGATCTGCCCACGTGAGCTAAAGCGGTGGAAGCCAGATTCCCATCCACCGTGTTAGAGAGCCCAGGCCCACTGCTGCCCTGGTGTAGCTGCAGCAAGAGGAAATGTCCTGGCGAACCCCACCGGTGCTGGCTCTGATGCAGCGAGCGCAGTCCATCGGGCGCGTCTGGTACCCCAGCACCAAACTGGGGTGGCCCATGTAGAGCTGGATTAAGGCCGGTGCTGGCCCGATCTACCAGCCCAGTGAGTCTGTGTCCAGCTGCAGCCTCGCCCTGAGGGGGTGCGGATGTCTCTCCCCCCCCCCCAAATCCCTCTGGTTAGAGCTGCCCTCGGCAGGTGGGGGGCTGTCCAGCGGCCTAGGGCCAAGCCAGGCAGGGGCTGGAGGATCTGGGTCAGCGTGGTGCTAACCCCCCCGCCCCTCCGGCATCTCTTCCCAGTCTGAGCACTTCAAGACAACCTCGCAGAAGGTGGCCCGCAAGTACTGGTGGAAGAACGTCAAGATGATCGCCATCATCTGTGTCATTGTGGCCATCATCATCATCCTCATCATCCTGTTTGCCACCAACGTCATCCCCACATAGGCCACGCCCCCTCCCCGCAACCTCTTCCCCCACTCCACAGCTTCCCTGCCCCCACTGCCTGATGGTCGCTGGGGGGGCGATGCCTCCTGTCAGCCTTCTGAGTTTGCCCCTCCCTACGCCAGGAGGGGGAGGACACTTGTACTCTGACCCTCATTGCCCCCATGAAAGCTCCTTGGGGACTGTAGCCCCCTGAGGGGAACTCCCCTGCTCCCTCTGGCTCTGCCCAGCTTCCTTCCCCCAAACCCTGTGTCACACCCTTTCCCGGGCACCCCCATCGGTGTTCCCAGGCTGGCAGAGCCAAGCTACGCGGGAGCAGCTCCCAACCCCCAGCTCGGCCCCGGGGGGCAGGGTTGTCCCCTCTGCCCAGTGCAGCTGCCTGTAGTCCAGCTGAGGGAGGAGGCACTCCTGGGCTGGGGTGATGGGCTTGGATCTGGGGAATGCTTCCCCCCACCATCACAGCCCGTGCCTCCCGTGGGGCAGAGCTGGGCGTGGGCAAGGGCTGCTCTGTCCTGACCTGGACATGGCCCTGTGGGGAGCAATCTACCTTTTGCCTTAATAAATAATGAGAGAAGGCGATATCCCTGCAGGAGGGGGCGGGGGGATTTGTCAGCCACCTCTGCCTGTCCAGGCTGGGGGCTCATGGGCTTCACTCCCTAGGTTCTCATAGCTAACCCCTCCCATGGCACCCTGACAGTTGGTGCACCCCCTGTCCTGCCTGGAGGGGCAGGGTGCTCTTGGGGGTGCAGAAACCCCCTCTTGTCTGCAGGGGGAGACTCAGCCAAGGGGCGCAGCTGGGAGCTGGCGGGTCGATTGGGGGAGCGGGGAAGGGTGAGCAGCCTCACCCTTGTTGCAGCCTCAACCCGCCCCAGCCTCCCCCACATGCCCTGAGTTTGGCTGTGTAGGTGGGTCTTACTTGCAGGCTCCCCCGTCGGACCTGGGGGGGATCCCTGAGCTGAGCAGTGGAAATGAGCTTTGGAAGTAGTTTCAGAGCCACCACCCCCCTGACCCTGGAGGGGGAGACCAAGTCTTCCTGATTTCCCCCCTCCCCACCCTCGCCCCCCCAGACGCAGGCTGCGCTCCCTGCAATAAATGTATTTATACCTCACCGGGGAGTAGCGATTTATTGGACGGAACCTACCTCCACCTCTGCTCTGTACCCTGTCTGCTGAGCCCCACTGGACTCTCTGCTGGGAGAGGCTGGGACTGCACAGGCTGGCATTGTGCCTGGCCTGGGGCGTGGGAGGGGTGTTGGATGGTCCTTCATTCCAGGCTGTGACCAACTTGTAACCCTCAGCCCCTCACCCTCCGGGGCTGAGAGCGCAGGATGCTCGCCCGGCAGCCAGCCCTGCCCCCGGCTCTTTCCGGGGCCCCTCCCAGCTGAGGATCTGCCATGATGCACCCCCTGAAACTGAGGCATGGAAGTGGCTTGCCGAGGCCGTGCCAGAGCCAGAAAGAGAACCCAGGACTCCTGCCCATCTTTCCTGGCACAAACCTGGCAGCAGCTTGGTTGTGAGAGCTGGGTTAGAGCAGGGGGAGGACTAGGGGCTACCAGCTTGAAGCAATTCCATCATTGGCACAAACTCCCATTGGCTGGTCAGAGATCTGGAGGGCTGGGTGCTTCTGTGAGCAGATTGACCCTTTTGTGGCTGGGCCATGCCCTCTGCTCCCCCGCCATGGCTCTGTTGTGTTTCACACCAGCATGTGTTACCGTGTGGAACTCCCTGCCACAGGATGTCCCTGAGACCAGAAGCTCAGCAGTGTTTGAGGGCAGGCTGAAACATTGAGCTGGTGATAAGAGTTGCCAGGGGGACCTCAGAGACTTCTATCTTGTTACACTTCTGCCTCAGGATATGAGCTAGCCCCCGGCTGGTGGGATGTAGTGAAACCCCCTCCATAGGCAGGTGATGCCACAATGGCCCTAGGCCAGGGGCTTTCCGCCTGTTCCTCAGCAGCAGCTGGAACTGGCTGCTGTGGGAGCCACGATACCAGGCAGGATCTGCTAGTGGGGCAGCTGGCTCCGGGGCTGGGCTTCCCCTCCTGGCTGGGGCTGTGGGAGCGCTGTGTTCCCCTACGCAGCTGCCCAGGGCACTGAGACGCTGACTTCTGTGCCAGAGGCAGCCTGGGTGGGTGACACAGACAATTGCCTCAGTGTGTGGGGAACAGCTCGCATTCCCTGCTTGGGCCTCAGCTCTGGGCTGGTGCCACAGAGGCTGGGCTGAGGCCTGGCCCGATGGCTCAGGGAGGCAGGTGGTAGAGGGTGGGTTGGCAGCTCCTGGCCATGGGGAAAATGGTGGAAGCAACCGCAGCTGTGTGGGAACTGCCAGGTGGCTCCTAGCCTCAGGCGTTGGCTGCAGCTCCTCAGGGCTGGAGGGCCGGTCCCACGGGGTCCCTGCCAGGGCAGAGATGCAATAAGCCAGAGACTGGCATCAGCACTGTTCAGCTGGGTTTACTCCATTGCACCCCATCTCCGCTGGGTCTTCCTCCTTCAGTGCCCACACAATTCCCCCCCCCCCCCCAAGATCTACACCCTTTGCAGCCCCAGCACTGGCCCCCGGCCTCCCCCAGCCGATCCATCCAGCATGGCCACCCCCATCATCCCTGAATCTACCTGCCCCCATTGCAGTTCAGTGGCGGATTTAGAGTTAGTGGGGCCCCGTGCTCAGCTTCATTGTTGGGGCCCCTCCTTGGGACCCAGCCAAGGAAAATAACATTCGCTCTTATCTCCCCTCGCCCCCGTTTTTCATCCTTTTTTCCTTCCTCCTCCTCCTATAAGTAATAGGAAGTAAATGAAAATAAAGTGAGGGATCTTGACTGGTTTTGTCGTCGAACTTATTTTTCCACAGACCACTTGAAAATCGCTGAGGGTCTCTGCAGACCACTTCCAGATCTTTCCAAATAGTGTTTGTGCCCTTAGCTGACTCGTGTGAAGCGCTTTGGAGAAGAGCCCTTTATAAAAAACAAATATGTAAAAAGTGATGGGGTGCGGGGTCTGGCCAGGACTTAGGGTGCAGGAGGGGGCTCGGGGCCGGGGGCGCAGGGTCTGGGAGGAAGTTAGGGTACAGGAGCAGGCTGGGGGTTGGGGTGCGGGGTCTAGCCAGGACTTAGGGTGCAGGAGGGGGCTCAGGGTTGGGGCAGGGAGTTGGGGTGTGGAGCGTTTACCTGGGGCAGCTCCCGTGTGGTGCGAGGGGTGCAGGTGGGGATGTAGGGGTGTGTGTCTGCAGGAGTCAGGGCTCGGGGTGTGTGAGGGGGTGCAGGGGTCAGGGCAGGGGGCTGGGGTCGTGGGGGTGCTCCCAGCCCCCTGCCCTGAGCAGCTCATGGCAGGGGGCTGGTGGGGGTATGTGAAGGGGGAGTGGGGGGGTCCCGCCTTTGCTCCGCCCTGCTCCGATTCCACCCTCTTCCCCAAGGCCCCGCCCCTGCCTCTTCTCCGCCTCCTCCCCCCACCGTGCTGCGGCCCTGCCCCCCCCCCAGACCTGAGCGCTGGCAAACAGCTGTTCCGTGGGGGCAGTGCTGGGAGGGGGAGGGGCAGGAGCACAGCACGCTCGGGGGAGGAGGCGGGAGAGGGGGGAGCTTGGCTGCTGGTGGGGGCGGAGCCTGCAGCAGGAGCCGGCAGGACCAAGCTTCTACCCCCGCAGCTGCCCGGCCCTGGGGCTCCTTGTCACTGGGGGGCTGCATGCCAGGGCACCCTTGTGTTTCACTGTAAATCCGCCTCTGTTGCAGGTACACCCTGAAATGGGCAAAGTCCTGGTCACTTTGTTCAGAGCCCTTCCCCCCACATGCCAGTTACCCCAGCCACACCCCTGCCCCCTGCCCCCCCCAACTCTTCCCTGGGCCCAGGAGAAGGAAGCAGCTAACAACAGACTCCAATACCCCCACATTGAACCCACCCCCGGCAGGCTCCCCAGCCAGCTCATCTGCCCTGCACACCCCATCCCATGCTGCGAGCCCTCGGGTGGGTCGGACACATTCTGGGCCTGGGCCAGCACCTGACACAGTGTGTGGCCTGACCGTTCCTTGTCACTCAGCCAGCGCTGCCTCGTGTGGAAATCTGCTGCCTGGAGCCCTCTTTCCCACAAAGATTCTCTGGGGAATGGGAGGGGGGGCATGCTCGTCAGTGCCACCCGTAGACCAGGCCGCGCCATCAATCAGGTGCCACACACCCGAACTGCCACTGGCCTAGCCAGTGTCCAGCTCTTTCTACTATCATCAGCCCCTCCTGTGCCATGGAATCTGATCTACAGTGAACTAGTTACACAGTCAACATTAGGTTTCAGAGTTAACACGGGGGAGGAGAATGGGGCCCTCCACAGCCATCTGCACACTAGCTGCATGTAGACTCAGGGACCCATGGCTGCCTCAGTTCCGCCCAAGCCACCTTCTGCCGGCTCTTTACAGCACCACGGCTAGAGCCTTAATTACTGTGTAAGGAAAGCTGAGGCCTTGGCCCCAGCTCCCTGAGCCTGAGAGTGCTGGGCTGAGCCTGGCTCTAGACAAGCTGAGCACCAGTTCCTGCCCCACCCACCTTACCTGCGCTGAGCCCTATGCCAGCACCCGCAGGAGCTGTGCAGCAACCGTGTCACCACGGCGTTGAAGGGAAGTGTGCCAACTCCCCGGCCACCTCCCTGGCCCCTGGGAGCTGAGAGGCCTCGTTAGAGCCCACTTCCCATTAGGTAATTAAACGGTAAACAACCATCACGCTGGGGCAGGGCGACCCCAGGTGCAACAGCCTGAGGCTCAGTGGGTTTGGCATCAGTGACGGATTTGACCCCATCTCAGGAGTAACTGGGCCAAAGCCACGTTCCTGACGTTGGCCCAGCGGGTTATGGGTGTTTGAACCCCCAGCTCCCACAATCCCCTGTGCCACCAGTGGGAACCCCGCATCACACAGCTGGTATCCTGCAATACATGGCAGCAGAGGTGAGCAATGCACCATGCGCATATTGACCCCGCGGGCTGGTGTGACTGCCCCGCCGTGAATGCCCATTGGGTGGTACCCTGCAAAAGTGCCACTTCTGCTTGTCGGCAAGGTCTTAGTGTGTCCCCTGCAGCATGACCTGAGACATAAGTGCCCCCATGCTGCTGCATGCACCTCCTGTCTTCTGACACGGCCAGAGCTTCAGGGGGAGCGTACCGCACTGGGCGATTCTGGAGAGATCCACCCATCTTCTCCTCCTGGTTTCTAGCAGTTGGAGGTTTAGGTCGCCCTGAGCATGGGGTTGCGGCTCTGACCATCCTGGCTAATAGCCATTGCGAGACCTAGCCTCCGTGAACTTATCTCATTCTTTTTTGAATCCAGTTATACTTTTGGCCTTCACAACATCCCCTGGCAAGGAGTTCCACAGATTAATTGTGCATTGTGTGAGGAAGTACTTTCTCTTGTTTGTATTAACCTGCAGCTTATTAATTTTATTGAGTGGCCCCTGGTTTTTGTATTATTGGACAAGGTAAATAAAACTCTCTTCTTTTGGAGATGGGGTGACCAGCACTGGACACAGGATTCCAGGGCTGGGCGCACCAGGGATTGATGTATGTGTTGGGGGGTGATAACTTCTGTTTTATTTTCTATCCCTGTGCTAGTAATTCCTAGTCATCTTTCTCATCACTGCTGGGAACTGAGCTGAAGTTCTATCCCCATGACTCCAGGTGCTCCTTCTTGAGCATCAACAGCTCATTTAGACCCCATCTCTGTGGGGTTGGGATTGTTTCCCCCAATGGGCATTACTTTGCACCTAGAAATGTTGAATTTCAGCTGCCATTTTGTCCCCCCATCAGGGAGACGCCCCGTAACTCAGCTGTCTTGAACAATATTAGTTCATAGGCAAATGCTGTCACTTCACCAGTTACTCCCTTTTCTGGATCATTGATGAATTTGTTGAACAGCCCAGTCTGGCGCGGGGGGGACTGCGCTGGTCACTTCTCACCACTGGGAAAAGGGACCATTTAGTCCTGCCCTTTGTTCCCTGTCAAACAGCTACTGATCCAGGACCTTCCCTCTTTCCCCTAACTGCTTTGTGTCCTCCAAAGCCTTTAGTGAGGGACGTGGCCTGGCAGAGGCAAGGGGGAGCTGTTCGTGCAGTGAGGCACCAGAAATGGACACCCCCTCGCCATGCGGCCAGGGCAGCCAGGTGGGGCAGCGGTGGCCTGTGACTGACATGCAGTGTTTCCTGTCTCTGCCACAAGCTGCGGAGGAGGCCACACACCCTGCCCTCCCCCCTCGGTGGACTTTACTCACCTTCCTGCTTCCCCCCGTGCTGGCCTGGGAGTCCAGCGTTCACTTGGGTGCATGAAAAGAAAGTAACGAGCCAGCTGGAAACTGTGAGCAATTCCCAGGAGTGGCAATTAACTACAAAGCAGCATTTGCCAGCTGCTCCTCCCCAGAGCCACCATCAGTCTCTCTCCTAATGGATCCCTGCCCGTCTCTCTGCCCCCCTCGCAGCCTCCCCTTCCAAGCTCCCTTCCAACCTGCCGCCAGTGGGTCCCTGCTGCACCCAGCTTACACCGGGCATCTCAGGGAAGACTCCCCTTTGGGTTCATGACAGCTGAGCCCTGCATCCACTGCAAAAGACGCTGCAGGAGCAAATCAGGGCTGGAGGCTAAAGGTGAGGCTTGTCCGCTCCCCGAATTAGGCCTGTCTCGAGCTCCCATCCACAGATCTCCACGCAGTTCACTAAAGGAGGGGTCATTATCCCCATATTGCAGAAAGGGAAACTGAGGCACAGTGAGGGGTGGTGACTTGGCCAAGATCACCCAGCAGGGCAGCGGCAGACCCAGATATGGAACCCAGCCCAGGCACTGCCCTGCCCATTGCCCAGAGAAGTCCACCCCTGCGGGCTGCTGATCCGGCCCTTCCTGCCCTGCCAGAGTCACTCCAGAATAGATGTAGGAAAGGAGTGAAAGTGAAAAGTCTAGAAGGAAAGAGAGAGAGGCTGAGAGCCCAGCGCCCAATACTGCCCCCGGTGCGACTCCGGAGTGACCCAGTGTGGACCTTAGCGTGACTCCGGAGTGACACCGCCAGGACGGCAGGTGGAAGTGCGCTGCGGGCGGGGCGGGGCTGAGCCGGCTCTTTCTTCCTGGGCAGGCGCTTCTCGTGGCCTGCCCCTCTCGGCCCCTCGCCCACTGGGCTGCGCTGCGCTCCCCTCTCCGCTGTGGCGCAGGCTCGGAGGCGGCCGCCTGGGGTCCCGCGTCCGCAGCTGGGAAAACCCCGACTGCCCGGCAGCGCCCAGGGCCCCGGAGCAACTGGTGGGACGCCCCGGCGCGGGGCGCACGGGCAGAGCGGATCGGAGCTTCCCGAGAGCCGGCGCCATGGTGAGGGGCGCGGGTGGCCGCGGGCAGCAGTTTCGGTTTCTAGGCGCCTCCAGCGGGCGGGAGGGCGCGGGGACCCCGGCACCCTGCCCAGGGCTGCCCAGGGCCCTGCGTGGCCCCCCATCCACGGGGGTGGGCTGGGGCCGGGGCGCTTTGCGGGGTCACGGGTCCCCGGTCTGACCCCCGGGCGCTGGGGGGACGGGTGTACCGCGGGCCTGGGGGGAGAGATGGTGCTGTTCAATGCCTGATACCCCCCCCGCGCGAGTTCGGTACCTTCCTCCGGCCCCGCATAATTGAGCTTTGTGCCCCCCTATATCGCCCCGTTTTCCTCCCTGCTTGTGGCAAGTCCAGCTGCTCTCCTGTTCCCTGCCCCGCCACAGGCTCCTTCCTGCCCAGCCCCAGCCCCCGCCCCGGGACCGGGTAAACCAGAAGCCAAATGGCACATCCTGATCCCAGCTCCAGGCAGCCCTGGTCTTTGCCTCCGCCTGCCCCAAATCAGTCTGCGAATTTGCAGATGACACTAAACTGGGAGGAGAGGTAGATACGCTGGAGGGTAGGGTTAGGATACAGAGGGACCTAGACAAATTAGACGATTGGGCCAAAAGAAATCTGATGAGGTTCAGTAAGGACAAGTGCAGAGTCCTGCACTTAGGACGGAAGAATCCCATGCACCGCTACAGACTAGGGACCGAATGGCTAGGCAGCAGTTCTGCAGAAAAGGACCTAGGGGTTATAGGGGAGGAGAAGCTGGATAGGAGTCAACAGTGTGCCCTTGTTGCCAAGAAGGCTAATGGCATTTTGGGATGTATAAGTAGGGGCATTGCCAGCAGATCGAGGGACGTGATCGTTCTCCTCTATTTGACATTGATGAGGCCTCATCTGGAGTACTGTGTCCAGTTTTGGGCCCCACACTTCAAGAAGGATGTGGATAAATTGGAGAGAGTCCAGCGGAGGGCAACAAAACTGATTAGGGGACTGGAGCACATGACTTATGAGGAGAGGCTGAGGGGACTGGGATTGTTTAGCCTGCAGAAGAGAAGAATGAGGGGGGATTTGATAGCTGCTTTCAAATACCTGAAAGGGGGTTCCAAAGAGGATGGCTCTAGACTGTTCTCAATGGTAGCAGATGACAGAACAAGGAGCAATGGTCTCAAGTTGCAGTGGGGGAGGTTTAGGTTGGATACTAGGAAAAACTTTTTCACCAGGAGGGTGGTGAAACACTGGAATGCGTTACCTAGGGAGGTGGTGGAATCTCCTTCCTTAGAGATTTTCAAGGTCAGGCTTGACAAAGCCCTGGCTGGGATGATTTATTTGGGGACTGGCCCTGCTTTGAGCAGGGGGTTGGACTAGATGACCTCCTGAGGTCCCTTCCAACCCTGATAGTCTATGATTCTTAGCTTCCCTTGCAACCCCTTCTCTGGGGCCAGGAAGCCTGAGTGCCCCCCAGCTCTAGGGGTCAGGCCCCCTGGATCTCCCATAGTGACCCCCAACTGTTGGGGCAGGTCCTGGGGAGGCCTGTGGTTCTGTCTCACCCACTCTGATCCATGGGAGAAAGGGCCTTCAGAGGCCATGCTGGTGCATGTGACAGTTCCTACAGGGTTAATCTGCTTTGGCAGGCAGCCTGTCCTGGCCCCAGCCCCTCCAGGGGGAGATGAGGAAGGGCCTGTGACCCCTGTGCAGTGGGAGGGTCTACGAGGAGTGGGGTCTGGCAGCTCCCCTCTGAGGAAGGGCCGTTCTATTGCTCTGTACCCGCCTTGGTGCTCCAGATGTGGCATCGTGCGGCCAGACCTGGGTGCGCCAGCTGTGTGATGTGCACTAGCCAGGGATCTGGCCTGTGGACTCCAGCCTCCCTGTGCTGGGCTGTAAATACAGCACCCAGGTCTCTCGGAGGCACCTGCCCCCCTCCCTCCCAGGGAGTTTGGTGTTTGTCTGCAGGCTGCAGGGCCCGATCCTAGGAACCAGCAGGGCAGCTCGTGCAAGCAGGGGCGGCTCCACCAAACAGCCCAGGCTCAGCCCCCTGCCCCCACCCCGCTGCAAAAGGCAACAGGAAACCTTGCAGAGAGGCCCCCGTCTTGGTTTAGGCTCCGGGGCTCAGCCCCTCCTTCCTCCCACTGCAAAAGGCTCAGCTTTAGCCCCCGGCTGGCAGGGCGGTGGCAAACGAGATCCCAGGGCCTGGCCCTGGGGATGTGGGTAGATCACATGCTCCTGTGGCTGAGCAGCTTTGTTTTCTTTCACGGGGCAGAGAGGTCCTGGGCTGTGCGACCTGCCCTGCCGCACCCCACCCCTTCCCTGCGGCCTCCGTTGCTTCCACTTTCACAGGCTTTTGCTCCTCCCCAAGGGGCAGCCGTGTGCTGGCAGGGAGAGCCAGCCTCATCTGGGCAGGGGCATTTGCCATCTGCCATGCCCACCAGCGCTGTTAATCCCCCAGTGCCCAAGAGCCCTGACTGAGACCGGGGCTCCTTGGGGCTGGCCCCCTGCCAAAGAACAGGGAGGGACAGGAGCAAGCCGGCTGGCCCTGGCTGCCTCCTGGGGGGCTCAGCCCAGCCCAGGGTGGCTGGATGTCCCACTGGTGGGGGCTGGTGTGTGGAGTTTAAATTATTCAAGGCTCCCTGGGGACGTGCTGCTCTGAGCAGCCCAGTAGCCATCACAGGAGTGGGAGCTTTCCCACCAGACCGTGCTGGCAGGCAGGACTCCTGGGTTCTATTCCCAGCTCTGCCTCTCTGGGTGACTTCAGGCAAGTCCCTCCCCTGCTCTGGGCCTCGGTTTTCCCATGTGTGATGCAGGATCAGGATCCTGAGCCACTGCGGTGAGCCCTGTTAGATTGGGGGCCTGGTGTCAGTGCCAAGGGCTCTGAGCCTCATAAAGAGATTCACATAGTGGCCTGGCAGATCAGGGGTCGGGCTGGGCCTCAGGAGAACCAGCTGAATTCCTGGCTCTGCACAGATGCTGGTCCAGTCACTGAATTGCTCTGGGCCTCAGTTTCCCCATTTGTGAAAGAGGGATAACAGCCCTTTGTCTCTCTTCTCTGATGAGGCTGTCGGCTCTTGGGGGCTGTCTCTGGCTGTGTCTGAGCAGTACCTTATGGTGGGCTGCCTATCTCAGCTGGGGCCTCTAGCTGCTACCGTAATACCCCTAATAAAGCAACATCCACAGTGCCCGCCTGAGATCGGTGGGTTGGAGTTTGCTGTTAACCTGCGGGGGCAGTTTGACCTGGCTGTGAACCGTGGCTTGGCCCCAGCCAAGCGGGGAGCACGCACAATGAGATCGACCGAGAGCAGGGTGGAGAAAGACCCTGCCTGACAAGAAGGAGGGTTCTGCCCACTGGCTGCTCGGAGCACCCACGCCCTGGGGGTTGTGGGGAGCATAGCCCCCCACACGTGGGGGTTTATCTGTTGTTGTGCCCCATTGCAGGGAGTGGAGAAAGGTGGCTTATTCTGCCCCCCCCCCGGGGCTCCTGGATCAGGCTGCCAGGGGCCCTTCTGCTCAGGGCAGGTTGTGCCCCTTCCCATCCCCTGGGCTGTGAGGGGTTGGCGCAGCTCCGCTGGGAGGACACCCCAGGGTGGGGGCTGCAGGACAGGGAGTCTCCAAGGAGCCAAGCACCTGCAGCAGCCTGGAAAGTCAGGCCCCAGGCACCCCAAGAAACCCAGGGCCCCCCAAAACTGATTCTCTCATTGGTATGTGGGCCTCTGACCCCCCTGCCCGGGGAATCCCACCTGCCTGTTTCAGCACGGGCTCAGCACATGTGATTAGCCATATTTCCTCTCTGAGCTGCTCAGAAACCCCCTTTGTGCAAGGAGGATCCTTCTGTCTCAGCCCTTGCGGTGATCCAGATCTCCCCAGCCACCTCAGGGGCTGTTGCCACTCCATGGGAAGGGGTTGCAGTTGCTGTATGTATTCCAGTCACACCTAGAAACCCCACCCGAGATCAGGGCCCCCTTGTGCCGGGCACTGCCCAGACCCCGCCCGAGATCAGGGCCCCCTTGTGCCGGGCACTGCCCAGACCCCGCCCGAGATCAGGGCCCCCTTGTGCCGGGCACTGCCCAGACCCTGCCCGAGATCAGGGCCCCCTTGTGCCAGGCGCTGCCCAGACCCCGCCCGAGATCAGGGCCCCCTTGTGCCGGGCGCTGCCGAGACCCACAGAGACTCTCCGTGCCCCAAAGAGTTTGGTCTGATGGGATGGAAGGAGGAAGGATCCCATTACATATTGGGGTGCTGAGCCCCAGCCAGATGAAGTGACTGGTCTGCGGTCACATGGGGAGTCCACGGCAGGCCAGGAACTGAACCCCATCTTGTAGGTCCCAGCCCCCGAGGCCTTGGCCCTGGCCTAGCCCATGTTGGCAGTGCTGGAAAATCCCTACCCTGGTGACTTGTTTTTCCAGCTCTAACCGCCTCCAGGCATCAATCAAAGGAGCCTAGAACAAACAATAGTGACATGGCTGATTCCCGTAACCAAACCGGACCCCCCCCCCCCCCCCCCCCCGGGCCACCCACTCGGCTCAGCCCCACTCCGGCTCAGAGACTGGGACGCGCTCCAGCAGCCGGATGTCCTGACACCTCGGGCCCCACAGGAAATGCTCCCCTGGCCCAGTGCTGGCACCAGGCCATGGCCTGTGAGAACAGGCTGGGACCAAAATACCCTGGGGTGTCTCTTTGGGCCCCCCAGACTCGTAGGGGGTGATGCTGGGGCAGGGGTGGGCAGGGGGAACCCTGAGCGTTGTCTTCAACTGAGCAGAGCCGGCAGTGGGAGAGAGAGGCTGCGGGGGGAAATGAGCACTGGGTTGGGATCAGCCATGGCTGGGTGAAGGGAGGGGGGCACTGTCCCCGAACTACCCCAACAGCATGGGGGAATGCACCTCACAACCCCCTCATGCCTTAGAATCATAGAATTCATAGAATCATAGAATCATAGAATATAAGGGTTGGAAGGGACCCCAGAAGGTCATCTAGTCCAACCCCCTGCTCGAAGCAGGACCAAATCCCAGTTAAATCATCCCAGCCAGGGCTTTGTCAAGCCTGACCTTCAAAACCTCTAAGGAAGGAGATTCTACCACCTCCCTAGGTAACCCATTCCAGTGTTTCACCACCCTCTTAGTGAAAAAGTTTTTCCTAATATCCAACCTAAACCTCCCCCACTGCAACTTGAGACCATTACTCCTCGTTCTGTCATCTGCTACCATTGAGAACAGTCTAGAGCCATCCTCTTTGGAACCCCCTTTCAGGTAGTTGAAAGCAGCTATCAAATCCCCCTCATTCTTCTCTTCTGCAGGCTAAACAATCCCAGCTCCCTCAGCCTCTCCTCATAACTCATGTGTTCCAGACCCCCTAATCATTTTTGTTGCCCTTCGCTGGACTCTCTCCAATTTATCCACATCCTTCTTGAAGTGTGGGGCCCAAAACTGGACACAGTACTCCAGATGAGGCCTCACCAATGTCGAATAGAGGGGAACGATCACGTCCCTCGATCTGCTCGCTATGCCCCTACTTATACATCCCAAAATGCCATTGGCCTTCTTGGCAACAAGGGCACACTGCTGACTCATATCCAGCTTCTCGTCCACTGTCACCCCTAGGTCCTTTTCCGCAGAACTGCTGCCTAGCCATTCGGTCCCTAGTCTGTAGCTGTGCATTGGGTTCTTCCGTCCTAAGTGCAGGACCCTGCACTTATCCTTATTGAACCTCATCAGATTTCTTTTGGCCCAATCCTCCAATTTGTCTAGGTCCTTCTGTATCCTATCCCTGCCCTCCAGCGTATCTACCACTCCTCCCAGTTTAGTATCATCCGCAAATTTGCTGAGAGTGCAATCCACACCATCCTCCAGATCATTTATGAAGATATTGAACAAAACCGGCCCCAGGACCGACCCCTGGGGCACTTCACTTGACACCGGCTGCCAACTAGACATGGAACCATTGATAACTACCCGTTGAGCCCGACAATCTAGCCTTACCCCAATTCCTCACCCCCAATCCCTGCCCTCCATACCCCAACCCCCTCACGCTGTACCCCAACTCTTAACCCCCCAATCCCTGCCCTCCACACCCCAACCCCCACATGCCGTACCCCAACTCCTAACCCCCCAATCCCTGCCCTCCACACCCCAACCCCCACATGCAGTACCCCAACTCCTAACCCCCCAGTCCCTGCCCTCCACACCCCAACCCCCACATGCCGTACCCAAACTCCTAATCCTCCAATCCCTGCCCTCCACACCCCAACCCCCACATCCGTACCCAAACTCCTAATCCTCCAATCCCTGCCCTCCACACCCCAACCCCCACATGCTGTACCCCAACTCCTCACCCCCCAATCCCTGCCCTCCATACCCCAACCCCCACATGCCATACCCCAACTCCTAACCCCCCAATCCCTGCCCTCCACACCCCAACCCCCACATGCCATACCCCAACTCCTAACCCCCCAATCCCTGCCCTCCACACCCCAACCCCCACATGCCGTACCCCAACTCCTCACCCCCCAATCCCTGCCCTCCACACCCCAACCCCCGGATGCCGTACCCCAACTCCTAACCCCCCAATCCCTGCCCTCCACACCCGAACCCCCTCACGCTGTACCCCAACTCCTAACCCCCCAATACTTGCCCTCCACACCCCAACCTCCACACGCCGTACCCCAAATCCTAACCCCCCAGTCCCTGCCCTCCACACCCCAACCCCCCACATGCCGTACCCAAACTCCTAATCCTCCAATCCCTGCCCTCCACACCCCAACCCCCGCATGCCGTACCCCAACTCCTCACCCCCCAATCCCTGCCCTCCACACCCCAACCCCCGCATGCCGTACCCCAACTCCTCACCCCCAATCCCTGCCCTCCACACCCCAACCCCCGCATGCCGTACCCCAACTCCTCACCCCCCAATCCCTGCCCTCCACACCCCAACCCCCGCATGCCGTACCCCAACTCCTCACCCCCAATCCCTGCCCTCCACACCCCAACCCCCACATGCCGTACCCCAACTCCTAATCCTCCAATCCCTGCCCTCCACACCCCAACCCCCACATGCCGTACCCCAACTCCTCACCCCCCAATCCCTGCCCTCCACACCCCAACCCCCACATGCCATACCCCAACTCCTCACCCCCCAATCCCTGCCCTCCACACCCCAACCCCCACATGCCGTACCCCAACTCCTAACCCCCAATCCCAGCCCTCCACACCCCAACCCCAGCCCCCAGTGAGAGGGATATGTTAGCCCAGCCCTCCCCCCCTCCCCCCGCAGTGAGATGGGGAGGGGTGGCTGGCTGGGGGGCAGGCGACAGCCCCATGCCTGTTCACCTTGTGGGGGACTACACAGCAGGTGGTAGGAGATGGGCATCTGTGGGGAGCTTTGAGCTTGAGGGTTGGGATGCTCAGAGCAGCAGGGTGTTTTGTGTGTTGTCATCTTCAGCATCCGTTACTGGGCCTTCGAGGGGCTGTGGACATGTGCATTGGCCAGGCTGGGAGGAGTGGGGTCTGTTGGGTAGAGCGGGGGTGGGGCAGGGAGTTAGGACTCCTGGGTTCTGTTCCCAGCTCTGGGAGGGGAGTAGAGTCTAGTGGTTAGAGCAGGGAGGGCTGGGAGCCAGAACTCCTGGGTTCTACTTGCAGCCCTGGGAGGGAAGTAGCATCTATTGGGTGGAGCTGGGAGCCAGGACTCCTGGGTTCTATCCTCGGCTCTGGGCAGGGATGGGGGTGCAGTAGTCGCAGCAGTGGGGCTGGGCACACTGATCCCACCCTGCTCCATGCGGTATAGTGCCCCTTTGTGCTGCCTTGGGGTCAGCACTGACTGCAAGGGGACAGCACCGCATCCTGCAGCGTGCTGGGCATTTCCTGAAGGTCTCTCCTCCGAAGCCCAGCTGTTGCTGGTTGGGCTGAGATCTTAGCTTCCGGTCGCCGCATCCTGCAGTCGCTGAAGGATTTTTCCTCCCCTGTTCCCATTTCCTGCTGGAGTTGGCTCAGCAGACTCGCCCCACCCAGCTCGGGTGTCTCCACCCTTAGACTGGGGTCTGGTCTGAGTCCTTTTACCTCTTTGTGGAAAGAATATTTCCCAGGGGGATTTGAATCCCGCCAGCCCAGGAGCCAGGAACATCACTCCAGGAATTGTGGAGGTCAGAGGGCATCCGCTTGTCTGCTCTGAGAATTTATTCTTTGTGGATATTTCCTGCTCTGGCCACCCAGTCCTCCATAGCAGCCCTGGCCGGATGTGCCGGAGAGAGCGTGCTCTGATCAGCACTTCTCAGCCAGGGGCTGCACCCTCCCCAGCACAGAGCAAATAGGGCCTCTTGGGCAAGATGTGTCTCAGAGTTAAGGAGAAGTGAATCAAGAAAGAACATAAGTAACAGACACTATCTGGCCGTGGTCTCTGCAGCTGGCATTGCTCCGAGGGATTTGAAGGTGCAGGGCACACGAGACCACAGGCCGCACTAAATACAATATCCCGACCTATGGGGAAGAAGGAGCCCTCCCCCATCTACCCTTTGGCTTTCAAAATCATTCCCTCAAAGGACCACAAGGGAAGGCTGGTCTGGTCCCTAAGCCCCCTGTACAAACTGGTCCCTGGAGCAGCTGCTGTTGCTTGGGATTAACCCAGCTGTTGGCAAACAGAGGATCAAAGAGTGCCGGGGGGTGGGGTGGGTCTCCATCTATGGAGGGGCCAAGGCTGAGTGGCGCTGGGACCAGGTGCGCCAGGTAGTGATGACCGGAGTGGGGAGCTGCCACTGCCTGGGTGGGTGCAGAGTGGGCTCCCCCCTCCCGCAGGGGGGTCCCGGTAGGAGATGAGGCCGGGGGTCACAGCGTGGCAGAGTTCAGGAAACAGTCGTTAAGTCATAGAACCAGTGAGCTCCCTCTAGCCCCCAGGACCTGCTCCTGCCGTCCTGAAGGCTCAAAGAGGCCCCCAATGTGCCTTTGGGTTTATCCCGCTGACCCTCTGCCCCCTCAGCTGGCCCAGACCACTGAAGCCCAGCCATCCTGTTGTCATGGGGTCCCCGGGCGATGCCCTGGAACTGCTCCCTACGAAGCCAGGCAGGATTGTGGGGGAGCCTCCTCTCTGGGAGCAGCCTGTCTGCAGGACACACAGCTCACACATCTTCCACCTTCCTGGGTCTGATCCTGGAGCATTCAGCATCCTCTGCCCCTCCCTGCGCTTCCCCCAGAGAGTCCGCCCAGGCGGGGTCCTGGTGAAACCAGTGGGTCCTGCCCCCCAACTCCGCAGTCAGACGGGACTCTCAGCCAGCCAGTAAAACAGAGGTTTATTAGACGACAGGGACATGGTCTAACACAGAGCTTGTAGGTGCAGAGAACAGGACCCCTCAGCTGGGTCCATTTTGGGGGGCGGTGAGCCAGATAACCCCGTCTGCCCTTCACTCCATGTCCCTAGCCAGCCCCAAACTGAAACTCCCTCCAGCCCCTCCTCCTCTGGGCTTTGTCCCTTTCCCGGGCCAGGAGGGCACCTGATTCCTTTGTTCTCCAACCCCTTTAGTTCTCACCTTGCAGGGGGGAAGGGCCCAGGCCATCAGTTGCCAGGAAACAGGGTGTCGGCCATTCTCTGTGTCCAGACCCCTGCAGACACCTGCCCTCTAGGGCTCTGCAACGATCATACACCCTTATCCCACCACCTAGATACTTAAGAACCGCATAGGGGAAACTGAGGCACCCCCACAATATTCAGAGGAAACATTAAGAAATGTCCTGCTTCATCATGTATTTAACCCTGTCCTCCCTGCAGGTGGAGGAGAACCTGGAGCGATGCCAGAAGGAGACAGAGGAGGTGACTCAGATCATGCTGGTCAACTACTCCAAGGTGCTGGACCGGGAGGCCAAGCTCAGTGACCTGGATGACAGAGCAGATGAGCTCCGTAACATGGTGTGTTGGGGGGGAGGGAGCAGTGGGGCAGGGCACAATGGGGGGGGGGACTGCTCGTGCACCATCACTTTCCTGGGGGCGCGAATCCAAGACCCATGGTTTTGCAAATGGGCTCCCACTGCTGGGCTAAAAGGAGAATTCCTGTTAGTAATATGGGCCCCATGATACACAGCTGCCCGGTTCCAACTCCGGCCAGCAGGGGGCAGTGATGTAACCGGCGTAACAAGTGGCGGCTGTACAGGGTTTGAGCGGAGGGAAGCTGAAGCCTGGGGTGAGTTCCTTGGGCCTGGGGCGGGTCCCCGGCTGCCCCTTGACAGCTCTCGCTTTGCTTCCTCCTAGAGCTCAGCCTTCAGCAAGACGACAAAGACAGTGGCGCAGAAGAAGCGCTGGGAGAACAGGAAGTACAGGATAGTCCTGGCGGCGGTCGTGGTGCTCATGGCGCTAATCATCCTGGCCGTGGTTCTGTGGCTGTCGCTGCGCGGGGCCGGGAGCCAGGCCGCCGGGAGCCAGGCCGCCGAGAGCCGGGCCGCCACCACGCAGGGTGACTGAGGGAAGGAGACGACCCAGCGTCCTCTCTGCTAGGGACGCAGCTGCCCTGGGCTCAGTGCAATATGGACACAGCGCGCGGGGAGACTGCCGGGGCTGCCAGTGGAGCTGGGGATTTTCTTTAGCTATTTGGAAAGGCCCCTTTGGAGATGGGTCACAACACTAGGAAACAATATTGACAGCCCAGCTCCAGGGAGCAACCCTACAAAAACGACCCCCTAATGATCAGCCCAGGGCTCAAGAGCAACCCTACAATAACAAACCAGTGTGTGCAGCCCAGTTCTGACATACAATCCCCCAATAACAACCCATTGGGATCAGCCCCAGCAACCCTACAATAACACCCGCAGTCCCTGGGAAGGGACCCTAGCAAGGGAGAAGGCCCCTGCGTTAGGTTTCCCAGCAGGTCAGGTAGATAAACGCTCACAAGTGCCTTAAGCTTTAGTTAGACTACTGTAGGGTGGGGAGGAGAGGTTTGCAGACAGCTGTGCTTCATGAAGTGTATCGTGTGTGGTAGACCTGGTTTTAAGACCGGCCCCCAGATCTGTTTAAAGCTCTCGCTGCCCTGCGCCACAGCCTTTTGCACCAGTCCCAGCACTGCTGAGGGCAGGTCAGTAAAGACAGATTGTTTGTAAAATGTTCGTGTTTCTGGTATGGCTGCTGGGGAGGGACAAATGGAGGTGGACAGAGAGATGGATAAACCGATAAGAGTCCACCATCTTCCCCACCTCTTTGTCTGCTGGTTGCACATGGCTGGATTGATTTCCCCACCTCCTAGAGCTCTCTGCACCCAGCAGCGATCCAGGCCGAGGGGTGCCCGATCCCTTCCCATTGTTCCCCCAGCTCCCTGGCACCCCAGAGTCAAATCCGATCTCCAGGTTAAGCATCCTTTGTGCCCTTAATTATAACAGGGTTCAAAAAAGAACGAGATGAGTTCATGGAGGACAGGTCCATCAATGGCTATTAGCCAGGATGGGCAGGGATGGTGTCCCGAGCCTCTGTTTGTCAGAGGGTGGAGATGGATGGCAGGAGAGAGATCACTTGATCATTACCTGTTAGGTTCACTCCCTCTGGGGCACCTGGCATTGGCCACTGTCGGCAGACAGGATACTGGGCTAGATGGACCTTTGGTCTGACCCAGTCTAGCCGCTCTTATGTTCTTAGAGTCAGACACAGACGCTTGCAGCGAGGGTGTGCTCGGAGCACGGTCGGCATGCTCCTTTGCCATCATGCCTATAACAAACTCGCCAGCAGTTACATTGTGGGTGGGCCAAGCCCATGGCTGAACGGCAATAGCCACTTGTGGTTTCCTGGTGCTCCTGGTCCGTCTCCAGCTGTTGTTTCATCTCATATGTAGATTAACTCTTTGGAGCAGAACAATGTGTATAGTAGGGGTGCTGAGAGCCAGTGAACCACACTGTAAACCCTGCACCCCCAGCACCTATGAGCAAGGCCCGTCTGTTGGCTCTGGGTCTGGACAGCGCCTGGCACAATGGGGTCTTGGTCCACGAGGGAGGCTCCGAGGTGCTACCGTAATACACCTAATAAATAACGTATGAGCGCCCAGCATGATGGGTCCTGGTCCAGGACTGGGGTTCCTGGGCATTACCGTAATACACCTCATAAATAACCTACAGTGCCCAGCACAATGCGTAGTGTGTGGGACGTGGGCACCTGTCTGCTAAGAACTGGGCTGAGACCCGCCAACTCCAGGGCCACCAAAGACCTGCCAGCCATTCCCACCCTGAGCTGGCCTGGAACCCCTGACCTGGAGGCAAACGTCTCTAACAGCTCATGGCTGATCTCTGGAGCTTCTGGGTAGCGGAGCGGTTCTGCGGGCGACACCCTGGCCGGTCTCTCTTCAGGAGGAATTGTTGCTCAGTGATGAGCATGAACCACCCCTGTTTAGGAAGGAGGGAGTGGGGGGAGAGGCACTCTGCATCACCAAGGGGGGGATCTGTTTCCAAGTCCCCCATAACACTGAAAAAAATGATCCTGAATGACTCCACCCCCAGCAGTGAGCTTCCCCAAAGCAGTGCCTCACCCCCATTTGCAGGCTGAGAGTGCTCCCCCATGGCTGTGCCCCCAGGGCAGTGCCCCCCCATGGCTGTGAGTGCCCCCAGGGCAGCACCCCTCCCCCCACTCTGTAAGCACCCCCCAGGGTGGTGCCTGTGCCCCCCCAGCTGTGAGCACCACAAGGTTGTGTCTCCCCAAGGCAGCACCTCCCTCCCCCCAGGCTGTGAGCACCCCCAAGATGGTGCCACTCAGCTGTGAGCACCTCCAAGGCAGTGCCTGGCACCCCCCCCCAGCTGGGAGTGCCCCAGGACAGCACCCCCTCCAGGATGTGGGCTTCCCCAAAGCAGTGCCTCATCCCCCCCCAGGCTGTGAGCACCCCCAGGGCCGTGCCTGCCCTCCTTCAGCTGTGAGCACCCCCAGGGCCGTGCCTGCCCCCTTCAGCTATGAGTGTCCCCAGGGCCGTGCCTGCCCCCCCACCCCAGGCTGTGAGCACCCCCAGGGCGGTGCCCTCCCAGCTCGGTCCGGGCCGGGAGCTCAGACAGTCCCGCACGAATCACCGCCCTTCTCCGCACGGCGCGTCCCGATTGGCTCCTGGCTGCGTTCCCGTGCCTCGCGTTCGGCCAATGGGCGATTAGCTCCCCGGCTACTTCCCCATCCAGCCCCGCCCCCGGCCGCGGGGATTGGCTGGCGCGGCCGTCTCGCGAGGCCATTGGGCCGGGCCGGGCCGGGAAAGCGTCACTGGCCCCGATGGCTTCGTACTTCGAGGAGCACAACTGCGAGCCCGGCGAGCGCGCCCGGGAGAACCTGCTGCTGGAGCTCGCCAGGTGGGGGCCGGGACCCGGCGCGTGGGCAGCCCCTGGGGGGATGGGGGTCAGGGAACGTGTCCCCCCCGCCCCCCGTGGGGGGCCGAGCCTCCCGGGACGCCCCCCCGCAGGAGCCTGTCGCCCCGTGGGGCGGGGTCGCTGCCTGGTCCAGCTGGGCCCCGCCCCCTGACCGGACTTTCCCCGCCGGTCCCGCCGCCTGACCGGACTCTCCCCGCAGGACCCTGTTCAATGGGCAGCAGATCGACCTGGGTGCCGTGGGCTTCACCGACTGGGATCAGCGGCTGCCCCCGCCGGCCGCCCGGCGGGCCGTGCTGAGCCTCCCCACGGTGCGGGTGACGCCGGCCCAGGCAGGTGAGGGAGCCCCCGGTCAGGGCTCGGGGGCTCTGCTAGGGCCCCGCCCCATTGCCCCAAGGGATGGGACCCAGGTGTCCGGCTGACCGGAACGCTCTGCTGCGCCTGCAGCCTGCCTGGCTCCTCGGGGGTCTCCGCTTCCCTTAGAATCATAGACCTCGAATCATAGTCCAATCCCCAGTTTTTGCCCCAGATCCCTAAATGGCCCCCTCAAGGGCCGAGCTCACAACCCTGGGGTTAGCAGGCCCACGCTCAAACCACTGAGCGATCCCTCCCCGCGGGGTGGGTTATTGCCGGATTGTGGCACTCAGGACGGGGTCGTGGTGCCCGCTTCCATGGGGTCCTGGGGCATCGGGTCCGGGCGCCTGCTGCCTGGGACAGGACGACCCTGATGCTCTTCTCTCTCCCCTGCCTGCTGCCCGGCGCCGCTGCCCAGACAAAGGGCTGAAATGCCCCGTGTGCCTGCTGGAGTTCGAGGAGGATGAGGGGGCCAGGAAGATGCCCTGCGAGCATCTTTTCCACTCAGGCTGCATCCTGCCCTGGCTGGGGAAGGTAGGTGCTGCTCCTTTCAGAAGCTTGCAGGGCCAGCTGTGCTTCCCCTACCCTGGCTGCGGCTGGACCCAGGCCTTTGGAAGCACAGACAATGGGGGGTGACCTCTGCTGAATTGGCGGTGCCAAGGAGACACCCGAAAGGTCTAGGGCTGCAGGTGCCCGGGGTGGGCGAGGGGATGGCGCCTCAGCGAGATTCCTCTTCTCTCCCCCAGACCAACTCCTGCCCTCTCTGCCGCCACGAGCTGCCCACGGATGACCAGGAATATGAAGAATACAAGAAAGACAAGGTGGGGTGCTTGTTAACACGCTGCCCCCTGCAGGGAGGCAGGGGTGGGTAGCGTGGGGTCCTGCTGCAGGGGTGGGTGTGCACGGAAAGGCTTTGTTCCTGCCATTAAATGGTTAAAGCCAAGTGTCCAGGGAGCAAAGCATTAGAAGATTGAACGCTGAGCCCAGGAAGGGGGGAGAATTCAGGGCCTGCTGGGCTGGAGTGTAATTTGGATGGAGCAGGGCCAGTTTTCCCCATCCCTGTTAGCTCTGCTGGTGCCCCTCCCTGCTGACCCACAGCCTCTCTGCCCTTCCAGCCCTGGCCGGCCAGGGGTATGGTTGTCACAGGGCACCCAATGCCCAGGGAAGAGGCTGGAGGTGGCAGCATCGGATGATGATGGTGTGGGGGTCAGGCCCGAAGCGTGATGGTAATCGCAGTGACGTGCTACCAAAGCCCAATACCTTGCACCCTGTCTGGCTGTGGGCCCCAGTGGACTGCCCAGCGCGGGCGGGGAACATGGTGGGGTACATGGGCCTCCTGATGTCCATGCTGGGCAGTGGCCATGTGCTAGGTGGGGCGGGCGGAGCTGGCCTTGACCACTGCCTGTCCTGGTTGTGTTTCAGGTGCGGAGGGAGCAGCGCGAGCACCGGCTGGAGTACCTGCATGGGGCCATGTACACGTGACTGGGGGTGCCCCACCCTGGCCCCCCACCTGCCTGGGGCATTGGATGCCCTCTCTGGGTCAGTGGGGGTGACCCCTCAGCGTGGGTACAAAGTTGCCTCCATTCCAGAGCTGGGTCCACAGGGGGTGTCCCCTGACATGGACAGGGCCCCTCCTTTGCTGAGCAACCCCAGCATCCCCATGGATCAGCCCTCGGCATCTCCCCCACTTTGCTGTGGGGTAGGGGCAGGGGTAACACTGACCAACCCCTCCCCCGTTGTCCAGCCATCTCTCCAGGCTGATTAAAGGTGTTTTTCTCTGACCCAGAGCATTTATGGAGTGTGAATGGGGGTGGAGGGCTTAGGGTATGGAGTCCTCTCTGTGGGGGAGATAGAAGACCCACCCTCCTGGCCTCTTTTATTCCCATGGGTGCTGAACCCTGCCCTGGGCCCTAAGCCTTGGCCCCTGAAAGAGTCCCCACAGCCAGCTGGCTCCCTGGAACCTGCCTGGGGGCTGAACTCCCTCCCCACTCAGGGGCATGCCTGCAACAGCTGTCTGAGGGCCCCTGGCTCTGGCTCCCCCAGTGGTGGGGTAACAGCAGGGCAGGCCAGGCCCTCCCTGCTGTTCAGAGGGAGATCACAGCATGTTGCTGGTGCCAGGGGGGTGGACCGGGGTGATAGGGTGTCTCCTGAAGAGAATGGAGCCCCTCCTTTGCTGATCAGCCCCGGTGTTCCCTGCTTCCTACTGACACCGGGCTCAGAACAGCTGGGGCTGGGAGGTGAGGGTCACTCTGAGCCAGGGGATTGGGGCTGTTTCCCCATAATCTGTGTTTAATGAGGCTGCTGGTGTGACACCCCTCCCCAATTAGTGGGAGCTGGGCCTGGGGGACCCTCTCTTGGATTCAGCTGCCCCTCCCAGCTCGATGGGAAAGGGGTTTGGGCAGCATTGTCCCTGGTGTGGCCCAGGGCTCTCTGCTCACCCCTAGGTAGGAGCACCCAGCTGCAGGGCGTTGGGAGAATCCTGGGCTCCAGGGGGGTTATGATTCCCCCAACAATGGAAGCTCGGCTGAGGGAGGCAGGAAGAGGAGATCTAGAGAAGGGAGGGAGGAAGAGGAGATCTAGAGAAGGGAGGGCACAGCCATGATGGATGAAAAGCTGGTGGGTGCCCCTGCTCCAGCCCAGCTCAGTAACCAGCCATCTGCAGCAGAGCACCCCCGCGTGCGCACACACCCTTACACAAGGAGAGGGCTTGCCCTGGGGCGTGTGGGGCAGCTCCCATGGCCTGGAGGGGGCAGCCACCTGTCACAGGGGCCCCAAGGTGTCATGAGCAAGGGGGGATCCGGGCCGTGGCTGGCCGTGCCCAAGGCTGGCCCGGCAGGTAAGCAGGGCTCCTCTGCAGGGAGCTCCCCAGTGACCAGCAGCACACCCTGCTCCAGTACAAGTCCCTTTATACACACCTATAGATATAAAAAGTACTAAAAATACCAAACCATTTTACCAAAAGAAACCAGCTCAGAAGGATGGGGAGGGAGGCTCTTTGCCCCTTGCCACCTCATTTGCCACCTCATCCCCCACCCCACCACCAAGACCTCCCCCAGGAGGGGAAGAGGAAGGAGAGGGGTTAATGGGGATGGGAGAGAAAAGACCCTCCCTCCCAAGGAGAAGCAGCAAGGTCAGACACCATGGAACATCCCTGTGCATCTCCCCCACTTTGCTGTGGGGTTACCCCAAATCCTTCCTGGGTGGGGCAGGGGCTTGAGCAAGGGAACCTGTGCAGAGGGCCTCCCGCCCAGGAGAGGCTGCCCCGCCTGGGGTGGTAAAGCCCTCGGCGGAGTGGGGTAGCAGCATAAGCAGTCGTGCCCTGCAGCCAGCTCCGGTCACCTTTCCCTGAGCAGCCACTGCCGGCAGGGGTCTGATCTGCAGCGGATGTGAGGGCCGGCGGTTCCCAGCAGGCACCCGGGAGCCAGCCCCTGCAGGAGAAGGCTAGCAGCCCCACCACAGGGTGCCCTCTGGCTGTCGATGCAGCAGCCAGGCTGGCCAGCAGGGAGTGCTGCTGGGCTGGGCCCTGCTGTGGGGGGCAGCCCCAATACTGTGTTTTCCTTTAAAAAATTTCTTTTTTGGTACAAAATAAAGGAGGGGGAGCCCCCGCTCAGATCACGGCAATGCTCTCGGGGGCACAGTTGAGGTGGGTGGAGGTGCTGCTGCCGCCGGGCGACTTGCAGCCCCGGGTGCTGGCCCGCTGCAGCGCTGTCACCAGGGTGTCGGTGGAGACGGCCCCGAAGTCGTAGGCGAAGGTGCCATAGAAGACCAGCATGTCGATGACGAAGACCCACTCGCAGACGGCCGCCAGGTGCTGCAGCAGGGGGCTCTCGTGGATGAAGAAGACACCGCCTAGGGGCTGGCTAAGGAAAGGCACCCACTGGGTGTGGCCTCTGCAGGGGGTGGAGTCAGAGACCCCACTCCCCCACCCTGCACACTGACCCCCCACCCCCATCAGCTATGGGGAGAAGGGGTACCAGCTCCCCTCATCCCCCCCCAGGGACTGACTGCGGTCAGCCCCCCACTTCAGGAGGAGGGGAGGGTATGCATGCCAGGAGCCCCCTGGGCCAGCTCACACCTGGCATGAACCTTATGACCCTTCCCTGCCCCCAGCCTGGGCATCCTCCCTCCATGCCTGGGTATCCTACAGCTCACGCCCCCCGAGCCTGTATGCAGGAGGTGCCCATGGGGAGGGTTATGTGGCTCTAGCTCCAGGCAAATGAGCATCTTTAACCCGGTGCTGCCTGCAGGGTGGCACAGCCCTTGATCACTAGAGGCTGTGGGTACAGGTGAGGCCTGGGGCAGGGGACCCTGCCATGTACAGCAGGAGAGGGCCAGCCCCTGGCATGCTGGGGCACCCTGGCACCAGGGAGGTCAGCCAACCTGCTGTGGGCACAGACTTGTAGAGGGCACCATATGCCACAGCCCTTCCCAGTGTCTGTGCTAGGCCATCCCATGTGGGGCTCAGAGAGGGGCTGCCAGTTTATAGCCTCTTCAGCAGCAGACATGGCCCCAGCTGATGCCCCTGCCCTGCAGCAGGGAGATCCTGATGTTCTGCTACAGCCCTGGGAACTACCCTGCCCTCTGAGGACACGACAGCATCTTCCCTAGGCATGAGATAGCCGGGGGGGCATCGGGCCCAGGGATCAAACCTGGGGCCGCTGCGTTAACTCAGAGCCAGCAGCAGGCTCCCTGGTGCAGCCTGCAGGACATAGCCCCACGGTTACATAGGTGACGTTCCTGGATGTTGAGCCCATGCCATGCCACACCTGCCTGCCTGGATGTGAAGGGGCTGGGTGGGCGGCTGGGAAGCCCCGCAGCCAGAAGGATACTGAGGACGAGGGAGATGAAGGCCACGCCGGTGAGCGAGACGCGGAGGTGTGCCATCCAGCTATCCAGCGCGCTGACGGCAGTGTGGTAGGTGAGGATGCACTGGAGGCAGACGAAGAGCAGCCCCGCCGGGAAGGCGATGCCCGCCCCAATGTAGTGCAGGGACTTGGCGTTGTCCACCTGGAGCAGAGGAAGGGCCGCAGTGAGCCTGGTCCATTCCTGTCCCTCCAGCCTCTCCAGCCCCCCTCCCTCACTGCTGCTCCAATCCTTCCCCCCACGGGAACCGGCTACCTACCACCAGTTCAGCCTGGCTGGTCTCCCGCCATGGGGGCCCCGCACAAACCCCGCTCCCCATCCCAGGCTTGCTTCTTCTGCACCCTAGTAGCTCCTCCCATTCTGCGCTGCCTTCCCTATCACCCCCTATGCCCCGGACAGGCCCCACTCCACAGCTGCCAAGCCCCTTCCTCTCTTCTCAGCCAGCCCTTCTGGGGAGCTAGCATCTGCCCACCCCCCATGGCCAGAGAGGCAGCAGCCTCCCCCCAGCAAAGGGACATCACAGCCAGCTTGGGGGAGGGGAGGCAGGGGCCACATGGCAACCATGGGAGGGGAGGCTGAGGGTACCAGGGCAGGAGAAAAGCCTGGCCCTGCCGGGTGCTGGCCCAAGCCCACCTGGAAGTTGCCAACCACAACGAGGCCGGCAGCGTTGGTGCAGCCCGCGATGAGCGCCGTCGTGTTGACCCAGGACCGGTGGCGCTGCTCAATCAGCTGCCCATAGCGCAGGAAGCAGATCAGCACCACTGCCGAGAGACAGGCCATTAGCAGGCCTGGGAGCTACCTCACAGCAGGAGGACCCCAGACCCACACCAGGGGCACTCCTCCTCTGGGATACCAGCTGCATGGCTGGGCCGTGGCTCTGACGTGAGATGTGTGGAGCTAGAGAACCAGGCTGGCAACAGTCAGCCCCACCTCGCAACCAGCTGAGGGAAGCGCCCCCCCACCCCGAAGCCAGGTGTGCTCACAAAACCCAGCTGCAGCAATGAGGCATTGCAGACCCCAGGGAAAGGCAACAAGGGCCATGAAAGCCACTGGAAAGAGACAACCAGGGATTGCTCCTGTGACAGCGCACCCCATATTCTTCATAGCGATATTATTATGGCATAATGCTGATATATTTTATAGAAGATAAAGCATGGGAGGTGTCATTGGAAAGGTTATTGATTTACTGAATACGATTATCCTACTTGTGTGCAGGTATCATTTCTGTATCTGAAGTGAGAAACATTGCCTGTTTGTCTGTATTTCAAATGTGTTTACACCTGGGGATGCCCACTAGGCAAAAGACCAGTAGTTTTCAAACTTTTTTTCCGGACACGCAATTGAAGAAAATTGTTGATACCCACGACCCAACGGAGCTGGGGATGAGAGGGGTTTGGGGTGTGGGAGGGGCTCAGGGCTGGGGCAAGGGGTTGGGATGCAGGGGGCGGCCCTGGGCTGGGGGTGCAGGCTCTGGGGTGGGGCCAGGGATGAAGGGTTTGGGATGCAGGAAGGGGCTCCAGGGTTGGGGGGATCAGGGGTGGGGCAGGGGATTGGGGCACAGGCTTATCTTGAGCAGCTCCCGGTCAGTGGCACAGCCAGGGTGCAGAGGCAGGCTTCCTGCCTGTCCTGGCACCGTGGACCGCGCTGCGCCCTGGAAGCGGCCAGCAGCAGGTCCGTGTCCTTGGCCGAGGTGCACAAGCAGCTCCACACAGCTCTCTCCTGCAGGCACCGCCCCCCTCCCAGGTCCCATTGGCCGGTTCCGGCACGGAGCCGGTGCTTGGGCAGCAGGCAGAGCCCCATGGCCCCCCCGTCTAGGAGCTGGACCTGCTGCTGTCCACTTCTGGGGTGCAGCACAGTGTCAGAACGGGTAGGGACTAGCCTGCCTTAGCCAGGCCGCACCGCCCGTAGGACTTTTAAC